GGCCTCAGGCTGGAGACGCTGAACCTGCGACCCCTTCAGTGGGAATGGGTGTAAGAACCTAAAGCTGGGGGAGGCACCTGCAGCAGCACTGGAACATGGGTCCCAGCTCTATTGGGAGTCACCACGTTGACCCAGGAGTCTACAGGCCTCTCTTCTGTCTGTGGCTCCAGGGAGTGGCAGTGCTGGAGCTGGCCCAGTGGGGCCCATGTTTCTCCTTGCAACACTGAAGCAAGGGCTGTGGGACTAGCTGTTGCCTCCTGTGCCAGAGCTTACCAGAGGGATGCTGCATGCCCTAGGGTAGCATGGCAGGAAGGCCACTGCTGCCTGCTATCACTACTGCCCTTTGCTAGCAGCCTGAGCCCTAGTGGGGCTGCTGGGAGCAGATGGTAAAAGGCCTATCACATGCTGCCACTTGCACTGGCATTCAAATCTGGCTAGTACTGGGGCAACCATCAAGTCTGGCCCACTGAGCTAGGTCTGTAGCTGTCCTGCAGCCTCCTGTTACAGGGCAGTCTGGGTGCTGCCCAGAGGCAGTGCTCTAGGTGACCAATGGGAAGCCCCTGCTCTGCCTCAGGAGTCAGAGGGGCTCTGAGCTCAAACCTGGCTGGCTACAGGGGAGGTGCAGCCCTCAGGCAGCAACTCCCACTGCCACTGCTGCTATCTACTGCCTTCAGCTCTGGGTGTCGCTACCCAGGCAGCAGGCCTTGGCAAAGCCAGGTCATGTCCCACAGCTTGTGTCATGGGGCTCCAGTTTCAGATCCATCATGGTGCTTTCCAGGTTAGTAGGCCAAAAACAGGGAGAAAACTCTTTCTTCAGTGCTGTCCTGGAATGCTTAACATCATCCCTGTTGACAGAAAATAAAAGGCTCACATCCATTTCACAGAACACACACATAAAGGATAAATTTGGAACTATGAGACAATACACTGATCACCAGGACAGTGACTAAGAACTTCAAATAGTCATGACATCATGAGTGAAACATGACTGGGAGATGTGTCTGCTGCCCAAAAATGTATATGATGCATTTCACAGGTATCATATACCTATATTGATGACATAGATAATGTTTTTACCATTTATACTATTTTCTCTCTTGATTGAGAATTCACTGAAATCTTTTTCTGCACTTTTTTTTTTTTTTTTTTTTTTTTTTTTTGGTGGGACCCTTGCCAGCGGTCGGGGAACGAACCGGCTCTGAAGAGGCTGGCAGCCCAGTGCTCAACCGCTGCGCCACCAGGGGAGGCCCTTTTTCTGCACTTTTAATAAAAGTGCCAAGCATATAGATAAACCCAGGATGCAGCAAGCATAAACAAAATGTCTTTTGAGTAAAACCATTAACTCAAGCCATATAGGCAGGACTAGCAGATATGAAATACAGAGAGGAAACAAAGCTAAGAATCCTCTTTGTACCTTCCAATACATTTTACATTCTATCAATTTCATCCTCTTAAAGGTCATCCAGACCTCCTCCTGGCACCCCAGTGAACTGATTTCCTTCTACTTGTGCATAGGTGTTATCCTGGACCACCATTCCCTTCACGGAATTCCTGTGTTGGAGCATGTCTTTTTAGTCTCCTCCTCCTCTTTCTTGATCTACTCCTTTGTTTGTTGAGGGCACATTTTCCAGCAGCATACTGGGAAAGGATTGCATGGGAAATAAATTGTGTCGAGACCTCATATCCCTGATAATATTTATTCTTTCCTGACATATAATTGGTAGTTTGGCTGGCTATAAAAATCTATGTTGGGCCTCCCTGGTGGCTCAAGGGGTCAAGCACAGTACTGTGAAACTATCTGCAGCCTCTGCAGCATGACTTCAATCCCAGACAGCCAGGGAGCTACCCACATGGTGCAGCAGACCTCTCCTGTCTTGCCCACTGCTCCCCTCAGCAGTGTATTTCAGTCAGTCTTCCTGTTCTGCTCTCCACTGTCTCTGGTGAATCCTCTCACCCCCCACACCTCTGGCCCATACCCCAGTTCTTGTATGCATAAGTAAATAAATCTTTAAAAAATAATAAAAATAAATATCTGTGTTGGATATAATTTTCCTTCAGGGTTTTAAGCCATTTCTCCATTACTATTTGAATTCCATTTAGAAGTATTCTGATTCTTATTTCTTTACTTTGATACCTTTTTCTAGATTCCAGTGTTTTGTAGTATTATGCCTTAGAAAGGGACTATTTTCTTCCATCATTAAAAGTGCTTGTTGGTAGTATTCTTTTTGGCAGAGTGGAGGTTTAATTTGTCTCTCCTATTTTCTACCTTTGTCTTTCTACCCTCTTTCCTGGGAGATTTCTTCAACTTTTTATTTTGACTTGACATAAGAAATCTTTTCCAGTCATGAAAATTTTTACTGATCCCTGGGCATTCCTGCTTATGGCATCCTGTTCTTGTTTCATTAGTATAGTATTCACTCTTTTCTCTCTGGGAATGTTAATGAGAGATTTTCTTTTTTTCCTTAAGCCTTTCATCTTTTTTTTTTTTTTTTAAACGATTTATTTATTTATTTATACAAGCACTGGTACAGTCAGAAGCGGGGGAGGGTGAGAGGATTCACCAGAGCCAGAGCAGGGAACAGAATGGGCAGACTGATGAAATACACTGCTGAGGGGAGCAGCGGGCTCGGCAGGAGAGGTCTGCGCACCATGTGGGACCCTTGCCAGCACCCAGGGATCAAACCAGCACTGCAGAGGCTGCGGGCAGCTTTGCAGCCCAGCGCTCAACCGCTGCGCCACCAGGGGAGGCCCTAGCTTATTCTTTATTTCCTCCAAATTGCCTTTTTTCTGTTAATTTTGTTTCGGTGGTTCTTTCTCAGATATCTTTTGAATCCTCTCTGCTCAAGTTAAAGAGCAGGGCACTAAAGCAGAATTTCTTTTTTTTTTTAATTTAATTTTATTTTTATATTCCCCATACAATTGCAACTCCCTTATTTTAATTCCAATCTCTCCCCGTGCCCCCCCCCCCAGTATTGTGTCTCTGGTTCATAGTTATTTGTTGATTTTTTCTTTCTTATAGTTATTCTTTTTCCTGGTCCCTTATTTAGGTTTTCTACATTCCTGTAAAGAAGAATTTCTTAACCAATGAGCCAAAAATATTTTGTTACAGGTGTGTGACAGTAACAGTGGTGGGGCCTGTTATCCACCCCTGACCCACTCAAGGCCTCATCTGTTTACCCCAGAATAACAATGTGTTTTCTGCCGTGTGGTGGGACTTGAAGTTTCAGAAATATTGCTCCAAAATACACTGGAAGCTCAGAACCTGTAGGTTAGGCTTATTGCCTGTGGTTTCATTGTTGCATGACCAAGTTGGGTTGTTTTCTTAGTGAGATCTATGTCTGCATCTTTAGGTCTTTCCTTTTAGGCTGGAGGACATAGGTCTCGTTTTCAGCATTTTAGAACTAGTATTGAGAAAAAAGACATCTGGCCTCAGCATTCACCAAATACTCTCTTAACTTTTAAGTTTTTGGTACAGGCCACCTACCCTCAACCATATCTCCCTGTCCAGAGGACCCACCCTCAGCTTCAGAGTATACTTCCACATCTTCCACAGGCTGGAGGAAGGATCTGGCATTTTATTTTTTTTTTTTTTAAGACTTTGTCAATCTGTTCTTCTCTTTTAACTCGTCGCTCACCTGTCCTTCCACAGCTTTCTTGACTAGCAGTTCCAAGCATTTGGTGATCTTAAGTGCAATTGAGGTTCTGTCATGGCTTTCCTCACTGCTGCATCAGGAATATCATTTTGACCTTGGGAAAGATAACAGTTCTTAAATAAGAGACAGAAAGTGACTGTGAAAAGCTATTCTTCAACTTGTTCATTGTCTTGAAAAAAGGACCAAGTCCACTGAAGATTAATATCAAGAATATAATAAAGAATTCCTTTACCTTGTATGAGGAGTATAATTAAATCAGTTGAAAAATGAACGTGTGTTTTATGGAAGAGGAAACACATGTGACCACAAATACATGAAGAGATGCTCAGCACTAGGGCAGCAAGGGCAGTGCAGATTACAACCACAGAGACCACATCTCACTCACTCCATCGGCAGAATTTAGGAAGTGTGACATATCTAAATGTGGTAGAGTTTGGGGTGCCACAAGTTCCCTTAGACAAAACAAGTGAAGCTATAAACCTCTCTAGCTACTTTGAAGAATAATTTAGCATAATTCTATTCCCAAGGGTATACCCAAGAGAAAATCTTTTACATAAGTTTTTACATAGTACAAAAGGAGATGTATGTAGGAGTATTCACAGCAGTCCTGTTCACAATATCAAAACCTGGAAATTGGCCAGTGCCCATCAGCAGGAAAGTGGAATTTCATACAGCAGAAGAAACCTCTGACATGCAGCAATAGGAATGACTCTTAGCAATTGAATATTAAATTAAAAAGGCTTGAGAAGATTACAGATAGTATGAAACATGTTAATAGTTATGTACAGCTTAATATGCATACATTTATAATAAATGAATAACTTTGTATCTTACATATCTATTTCATGGATGCAATAATAAAGGAAAATGTGAATACAGAATTTAGGATAATAGTTGCTTCAGGTGGAGGAAGCACAGGAATGAATTGGTGGGGAGGACCATTTAGTTAGAAGTGAGTTATTGTCAAGGTCCTAGCTTTTATTTTGGGTGATAGGTTTTTAGGGACCTTGTTACATTACTGAAAATAACAGGATCATTAAGTACATGGAAAACAAAAATGACCCTAAAGGGACTGGGGTTCCCAGGGTGAAGTAGAGATTCTTGCTCACATACATTAGCTCTTTGGTTTTCTGTTTTGTTTTTTAAGTAGTAGCATTGTGGATCCTGTAACAAATGTTTTGTTGCTGAAAGTTATTTTAAAAATACATTGACCTAAAGTTAACAAATTAAGCTTTCCAGATGGGGTTCATATATTGATAAGTATCATATACTTTATATTTAGTGCATTAATATTTATAGCTATTTCTGTTCTTTCATAGAAATTTTACATTTTTTTCCCTTTCTTAGGACAAAGTTAAACTATAACCCTCCAAAAGATGATGGATCAACCTATAAGATTGAACTTGAAGGGATATCGGTAATGGTTATGAGAGAGATCCTGGATTACATCTTCAGTGGGCAGGTATGATGAGAAACAAAGGAAGGAAGACTAAGTTGAGTCCCCTCGAGCTCAGGGTGAGGGTCCCCTTTCATCCATTCTGTGATGAAGTAGTGCTGTCATCTTCATCTTCTGTCATTGTGCCCTTGACCCAAGACTCCTGCTGTTGATGGCACCCACATGTGTTCTTCAGGGCTCTGCTCTTAAAGGAAAGGCAACTAAATGAGACCTTACCCAGATGCCAGGGTTTGTGTTTACTGTTCTGACTCCACCTCCTGCTGGGGAATAGCAGCTCCACATGTGCTCCCTGCGCTGCTGTCTTTCTGTGTTTTGTCTTCAAGCATGATTCCAGTCTTGCTCTGTACCACACTGCTGGGAATACCCTCTGCCTCTGTAGCATCTAAAGGGGAGTGTGCTGGGGCAACGGAGGATTTTGGAGAAATAAAGAGGTCCAGATTCACACAAACAACACCTACCTGCATTGTATTCCAGATGTCTTGATCCTGCTGCCTCTGTCCTACCTCCATTCTTTCTTCCATATTTCCTTATGTACTCTGTTCCCACTTGTTTTCCAGGATTTGAAACACAGAGAAGAAAGCCATTTGTGATTAGACTTCTGTTTCTTTGCCTTCTTCCAGCCTCTATCCCCATTATGTCATCTAAAGTGTCTCCAAAGGACTCTGAAGAAAAACCTTAGGTGTGACCTTAGGTTGTAACTAGTTGTTACAACAAAAAAGGGTGTGTTGTCTCTTACATGGTTTCATGAGAGTGCTTTTATCTGTCCTCGGAGGTCTTGTTGCCTGCTGCTCTCTCCTGTCACTTCTTCATCGTTCTTGTTTCACTTGTCCTTTTTGTGAGGGCTGTGTCGCCCACATATTTTCCTAGTATATACTGAGAATGCTGCTTACCTCCTCTGAATATATTCATTCTGTCCAGAAACAAACTTGGTGACCGTCATCTTTTTTGACATTTTTGGCTTGATTTCATGATGTTAACCCTTTCCATTTTCTCTGAACACTGAGTGGTGGTATGATACAAGGTTACGTATATGTGTGTATGATTGTTAAAAATAAATACAATGAGAATTCGTTTTGGGGAAACCCTTAAAATACTGAAGATAACCTATAACATCACAAAACAGGGTTTAGGAACCGTTTCCTGTCTAACCTAAAAGTTGATTCAGCAGCAGTCACAAGTTATAAGCCGAGAGGAACATATTAATGTTGTCTTGAAACGCTCTTTACATATTGATTTCTGTGTTTTGTTCCCAACTTAAATTAATTATGATTTAAAAACCATAGTCGCAATATAAGTTACAACAGACTCCTAATTTGGTAGTTTAGTTTTACCAACTTGAAATGTGGCATTTTTTATATGCTCATGTTTGAATAGTCCACAGCTATCCCCAGTACCTCATGGCTACTTTTAGTACCTCGTAGTACTTGTGAATGGGAAATTTATTCTTACTGTGGCTTACTGCACATATTTCTTTCCACAGTTTTGTTGCCCAGTTTCTCAAACGATTTATGCATTTTTCTTTTTGGTATCTCTGGTATAAAATGTAGAAATTGTTTCTTGCTGTATTCTGCTTTGAAATCTCTCCTTCACATATTCATATGTAGAATAAGTTCCTAGTCTTTGAGAGTACTGCATCCCTTGGTTTGTGGCAGTATATGAAAGGCCCATTTCTTTTTTTTTTTTTTTTTTAAATAATACATTTTATTTTTATATTCCCCCATACAGTTGCAAACCCCCCATTCTGACCCCAATCCCTCCCCTCCCGCCCCCCACCCCCCCAAAAAGTCTCTGGTTCATAGTTTTTTGTTGATTTTGATTTTCACTTTCTTATAGTTATTCATTTTCCTGGTCCCTTATTTAAGTTTTCTAGATTCCTGCTATGAGTGAGACCATTCGGTATTTTTCTTTTTCTTTCTGGCTTATTTCGCTGAGCATGATCCCTTCCAGCGCCATCCATGTTGCTGCAAATTGCTTGTGTTTATCTTTTTTGAATGCTGAGTAATATTCCATGGTATATATGTACCACATCTTCTTGATCCAGTCATCTATTTTTGGGCATTTGGGCTGTTTCCAAAGCTTAGCTATTGTAAATAGTGCTGCTATAAACATAGGGGTGCAGGTGTTCTTTGGAATTGATGTTTCTGTGTCCTTGGGGTAAATACCTAGGAGTGGAATTGCTGGATCATATGGAAGCTCTATGTTTAGTAGGTCCAGAAATCTCCACACAGCTCTCCATAGTGGTTGGACCAGTTTGCACTCCCACCAACAGTGTAGAAGAGTTCCTTTTTCTCCACAACCTCGCCAGCATTTGCTGTTGCTAGTTTTTTTAATATGTGCCATTCTCACTGGTGTAAGATGGTATCTCATGGTAGTTTTGATTTGCATTTCCCTGATTACAAGTGATGTTGAACATTTTTTCATATGTCTGTTGGCCATTTGCATTTCCTCTTCAGAGAAGTTTCTTTTTAGCTCTTCTGCCCATTTTTTGACTGGATTATTTTCTTTGTTGTTGTTGAGTCTCATCAGCTCTTTGCAGATTTTTGTGATCAGTCCTTTATCATTAGTGTTGTGTGCAAAAATGTTCTCCCAGTTGGTGGGGTTTCTCTTTGTTTTTGTTATTGTCTCTTTTGCTGTGCAGAAGCTCTTTAATTTGATGTAGTCCCAGCTGTTTATCTTTGCCTTCACTATCACTGCTTTGGGTGATGTGTCTGTAAAGATGTCTTTGATGTGCAAATCACGTAGTGTTTCGCCTATATTTCCTTCTATGTATTTTATGGTTTCAGGTCTTATGTCTAGTTCTTTAATCCATTTTGAGTTGATTTTTGTGTATGGTGTGAGGTAGTGGTCAAGCTTCATTCTTTTGCATCTAGCAACCCAGTTTTCCCAGCACCATTTATTGAACAAACTTTCTTTGCTCCATTGCATAGTCTTTGCTCCTTTGTCAAAGATTAGTTGACCATAAATCTGTGGGTTTATTTCTGGATTTTCTATTCGATTCCATTGGTCTGTGTGTCTGTTCTTGTTCCAATACCATGCAGTTTTGATGATTATGGCTTTGTAGTATAGTTTGAAGTCTGGGAGTGTGATACCTCCATTTCCTTCTTTTTTTTTCAGGAGAGCTTTGGCTATTCGGGGTTTTTTGTGATTCCATATGAATTTCATCAATAATTGTTCTATTTCTTTGAAGAATGCCATTGAGATTTTGATTGGAATAGCATTGAATCTGTATATTGCTTTTGGTAGGATGGCCATTTTAATAAAGTTTATTCTTCCATTCCATGAACAGGGGATGTCTTTCCATTTCTTTGTGTCTTCTTCTATTTCTTTTAACAGTGTTTTATAGTTTTCTTTGTATAGGTCCTTTACCTCTTTTGTTAGATTTATTCCCAAATATTTGATTTTTTTTTGTTTCGATACTAAAAGGGATTTTTTTTTGATTTCTTCTTCTTCAGATTTATTGTTTGTGTATAGGAAGGCTACTGACTTTTGCGTGTTGATTTTGTATCCTGCCACTTTACTGAATTGATTGATGAGTTGAATTAGTTTTTCTGTGGAGTTTTTAGGGTTCTCTATGTATATGATCATATCATCTGCAAATAGTGATAGTTTGACTTCTTCTTTTCCTATTTGGATTCCTTGTATGTCTTTCTCTTGTCTTATTGCTCTGGCTAGGACTTCCAGTATTATATTGAAAAGCAGTGGTGAGAGTGGACATCCTTGTCTTGTTCCAGATCTTAATGGAATTGCTTTCAGCTTTTCACCATTGAGAATGATACTGGCTGTTGGCTTGTCATAGATGGCCTTTATGATGTTGAGGTATGTTCCTTGTATCCCAAGAATTTCAAGGGCTTTTATCATGAATGGGTGCTGCACTTTGTCGAAAGCTTTCTCAGCATCTATTGATATTATCATATGGTTTTTATATTTCTTTTTGTTGATGTGTTGGATAACGTTGATTGATTTTCGGATGTTTATCTTTGCCTTCACTATCACTGCTTTGGGTGATGTGTCTGTAAAGATGTCTTTGATATGCAAATCACGTAGTGTTTCGCCTATATTTCCTTCTATGTATTTTATGGTTTCAGGTCTTATATCTAGTTCTTTAATCCATTTGTTTCCTTGTGTCCCTGGAATGAATCCTACTTGGTCGTGGTGAATTATCTTATGGATACATTGTTGGATTCTGATAGCTAAAATTTTGTTGAGGATTTTTGCATCAGTGTTCATTAGGGAGATTGGCCTGTAGTTTTCCTTTTTTGTGTTGTCCTTATTCGGTTTTGGTATTAGTGTAATGTTGGCTTCATAGAACGTGTTTGGTATTGTCCCTTCCTTCTCAATTTTTTGGAAGAGTTTGTGAAGGATAGGCACTAGTTCGTCTCTGAATGTTTGGTAGAATTCATTTGTAAATCCATCAGGTCCTGGGCTTTTGTTTTTGGGGAGGTTTTTGATTACCATTTCAATTTCGCTAATTGTAATTGGTCTGTTTAGGTGTTCTATTTCTTCTTTATCTAGCTTTGGGTGATTGTAGAGTTGTAGGAATTTGTCCATCTCCTCTAGATTGTTGAACTTGTTTCCATATAACTGTTCCTAGTAGTTACTGATTATTCTTTTGATTTCTGCTGTGTCCGTTGTGATTTCTCCTCTTTCATTTATTATCCTGTTTATTAGTGCTTTCTCCCTTTTTTCCTTTGTGAGCCTGGCTAGGGGTTTGTCTATTTTATTGATTTTTTTCAAAGAACCAGCTCTTGGTTTCATTGATCTTTTGGATTGTTTTTTTAGTTTCAATTTCATTTATTTCTGCTTTAGTTTTTATTATTTCTTTTCTTCTATTGGTTTTGGGGTTTTTTTGTTGTTCTTTTTCTAGATCTCTGAGCTTCGAGATTAGGTTGTTTCTTTGAGTTCTTTCTTGTTTTTTTGATGTGAGCTTCTATTGCTATATATTTTCCTCTTATTACTGCTTTTGCTGCATCCCATACATTTAGGATATTGGTGTCCTCCTTGTCATTCAATTCAAAGAATTTTTTAATTTCTTCTTTGATCTCCTCGTTAGTCCAGTGGTCTTCCAGTAGTGTGGTTTTTAATCTCCATGAGGTAGGATAGTTCCTTGCCTTCTTTTTATGGTTTAAGAAAGGCCCATTTCTTACCTTGACTTACTGCCGTGTGGAAAAACTATAAGGGGGTGGGGGAGGAAGCAGTAATCATAAAAGTGAAGACAATTAAGGAAAAGTAAATGTTAATAGTTATTTTTAAAAATCGTGCACTAGGGATTTATCCCAGAAAGTTGTTTGGAGGCCCCGATGTATTCATTGTGCTGAATACAGTGTTTTGGTAGGTATTGAGGACAAGGCTCTGAGGCATTATAGCCCTCTCTCTCCTCAAGGGACTTATAGTCAGTTTGAGATACCTTTTAGAAAAAGAGTAAACACTGTATATTTGGAGGCAAGATTTTTAGCAGTTCTGGTGCTATTATTTAAAGAAGCCACCTTCTTCACGTTCCCATAGAATGCAGAATTTTCCATTTCCTAAGCATTTCTGTCATTTAAAGCATTTCTCTCAATTAAGCTGACATGAGCACCTAGGTCAGTCTACCAAGAAGGGTGATGGAGAGTCAGTGTGGTAAAGCAGAGGAGTGCTGGGAATGTGAAGCAGCCACACACTGCTTATGTTGTTTGAAGGTTCCTTGGTATCCCCCGAACATTTCTTGAAAAGAAACTAGGTTGAATTATACAGAATTGCCAATATTTGACCACCTTCACAGACAAAAATGAAAATTTCATGTGGTTCAACCTAATCAATTAGTGTGGATGGGTCTAAAGTACAAACATTAAGATATGGGTGATATTTTTACAGATCCGGCTGAATGAAGATACAATCCAAGATGTCGTACAAGCAGCGGACCTTCTCCTGCTGACAGATCTTAAAACACTGTGCTGTGAGTTTCTAGAAGGCTGTATTGCTGCTGAGAACTGCATTGGAATCCGAGACTTTGCACTTCATTACTGCCTGCACCACGTCCATTACCTTGCCACAGAATATCTGGAGACACACTTCCGAGATGTTAGCAACACAGAAGAATTCCTAGAACTGAATCCTCAAAAACTTAAAGAAGTGATCTCTCTTGAGAAGTTAAACGTTGGCAATGAAAGATATGTATTTGAAGCAGTAATCCGATGGATTGCACATGATACAGAAATAAGAAAGGTACCTGTAGATTATAATGTGACCGAACTTTGCCTGTTTACTTACTCATTTCATTTTGTGTGTGTTTACATCTAGTTCAAATTTAGATTTTTTTTCCCTTCAATTAAAAAGATTTACAAAGTTGTGATCTAATAGACAGTTGCAGAGCATCTTCCCACAAGATCGTTAGTGATTTGTTCTTTAGGCCAGTCTACAAAAGTTGGTATAATTCATCAGGTATCAATGAACATATTAATACTTGCAAGGAACATAACATTCTTCATAGGTTATCTTTAATGAATAAATGCGTTTCTTTCCTAGATTATAGCTAGATTAAATGCGTTTCCCTCCCTAGATTATAGCTACACCATGACTGGCTGAGCCCTGCAGAGACGTTGATGTAAATGCAGGCTCTTCCTGGAGTGACTGATAACACTCTCAGGGAAAGCAGGAGAGCACTGCTCTGCGCTGGCGTTTTTGTGTCTGTGTGCTTCCAGTTAGAAGGTACTGGGAATGCATCCTGGGAAGGAAGGAGGGTCTTAGAGAATATCAGGCTTTAGATCCAATCTGTTACTACATTGGGGAAGAAAGCAAAATCACAGAACTTTAAGTCCAGAATTTATAAAGGGATTACCAAATTACTGTATTCAAAAAAAAGAAATATATTTGACTTTAGGTAGGTTTTTCAACATGTACAGTGTGCTGTACATTGTTCCTGTAGTGACTGTTGCCTTGTTTTAATGATTATTTTGTCATTTTTTAAATGCTGGATGCCTAGGCATAGGTCCTTATAGACACCATGGCTATGGTCTCTGCATAGGTAGCACTGTTCTGTTCTATTTCCCCCTTAGCTGAAAGGACACAGAAGAGTTTCTGGTGTGCCACTGCTCACGAAGCCCCTTATAGGAGACGCTACTGCCAGCAGCCTCTTCCTCACCCCTTCAAGCCTTAAGGTGATAGGGATGCTCAAGTCAGTTATGTTTTGGGGACACAAGAGGCAGTTCTTCATCCTCTGGTTAATCTGAACTTGATGCCTTAAAGACTGATGGCTTTTGCTTAGGCCATAGAAGAGTGTACCTTAAACTATTCAGAACCAAGAGAAACTGGTCATTAAAGTTTTGCCTTGCATATATAGAATGTATAGTTTGTTCCAATTAGTAAAAAGTTATATAATACTTGTTAAGCATATTACATATGTGATATATATTTTTAACAGTAATTACTAAGGAAATGATTCTATTCAGATTTTTTGAACTTTGATTTTTTTTCATTATATTAATGTTGATATATTTTCATTCTCTAGGTTACCATATTGTATGAGGCTATTACTGTATGTACTACCTCTATAAATGTGATTTAATTCACAGCACATCCAAGTTATAGCAGAGGTCTTCTGAATTTTCCTATTGTTATGGGAACTCTATAAGGTGTAAAGAAAGCTGCTTGAAACTTTGCATTGATACATCAAGTATAAATCTGAACTGTTGATTTTTTTAATTAAATCTTCATATGTGAAGGCTCTATGGAAATAGGAAAAAAGCCAGTAAAACACGTATAAACACTACCAGCACTTATAACATGACTGTTGATAATCAACAATTTTAGTTTTCCATGAGCTGGAAAATGTATATTTCAGAAACTCTATGTAGCATTCTCTCTTCTCTCTCTCCATCCTTGCTGGTCTCTTCCGCAGGTCCATATGAAGGATGTTATGTCAGCACTGTGGGTTTCAGGGTTAGACTCCAGTTACTTACGGGAACAGATGTTGAATGAACCTTTGGTACGAGAAATTGTCAAAGAGTGCAGCAACATCCCACTTAGCCAGCCACAGCAAGGAGAGGCCATGCTAGCCAACTTCAAGCCCCGGGGCTACTCTGAATGCATTGTGACTGTTGGTGGAGAGGAACGGGTGTAAGTATACGTGTGAGTTATATGCAAAGTGGTGTAAGAAAAAAGAGATGTCCTTTTTATTTATTTTTAAATTCATTTTTACATCACTGTTCATTTATGTATAATGTTTGATTTCTCTCCTCATGTGTAATCCCCATAAAATCCCCACCACCAAATCACCCGTAATCTGTCACCAGTCTCTTGTGCCCTTCCCTCCCCTGTTGTGACCCATTCTCTCTCCCCTTCCCCTGCTGTGTCTCTCAAATTTATTGTTTGCCTGCAAATTTTTTCTTTTTTTTTTCCCTGACACCTTGTTCAGTTTCCCTGTATTCCTCCTGTAAGTGAAACCATTCATTAGTTTTCTTTAGAAAAGAGAGATTTCTATGTAAATAAGAATTTATAATATTTCTCATCAGTAGATATTTTTTAAGTGCTCTAAACTTGCAATAGTTGTTTTAAGCAGAGCTATATAAAACCTATTGACTACAAAACAATTATTTATTTCCTTAGTTCTCGGAAACCAACAGCAGCAATGCGATGTATGTGCCCTCTCTATGACCCTAATAGACAACTTTGGATTGAACTGGCCCCGTTAAGCATGCCAAGAATTAACCATGGAGTTCTCTCAGCAGGTACTGTTCTGTGGTAAATTTTACTTAAGCACAAGATCAAATGATGTATAATTTCAGGGTTGTGTACAATAACTCAAACCTCTTAAAGATAGAATTTGATTATCCTCCCTAAGATGCCATTTTCAGTGTAGCTCTGGCTTTCAAGATTGTGGTAAGGAGAAGTGTCTTCTGTCAGTCTTACTGTTGCCAAATCTTTCATATATATAGCTATTTTAAAGGCTTTAGTAAAGGAGCATTTATTTGATGGTTAACAAATTTCAGACTTTCCTTGAACTGAGACATTCCTGTCTTTGAGACTTAGTTCACTATAGATTTATATGGCTATGTAAAAAATGAAAATGCTAAATAAAAGCAGGCATTTCATATGAGACTTCAGAAAATATTATTTAAATTAGTTACGGCCTAAAGTTATTTTAATACTGAAGAAATGTTTTACTTGACCTTTAAATGTTTGAAAATAGCTTTAATGAAATCTCTCCCTTCAGAAGCTGATAGAGACATGTTGTTGCCTCACCACCCTTTGCTGTCTCTCCCTTTCATCTTAAATCTGCCCTTTTGCTTTCACCCCACAAATACCATTCCCCCAGTTCTTAATCATTGTCAGCAATCCTCCTGGAATTCATACTTAATAGTCTCTGTCTGTTTATATTATCTTTAATATTTTTGAAGCTATTCCATAGCATACCTTCTTATAGAAATGGCTAATACTGTACAATAGTGTAGCAGTGAATCATTTTCTGCGTTCCAAAATTATGGAAGTTATTGTCAACAAAAACAACTGGAGTGATACAGGTTTGACAGGATGTAGGTCTGATTTCCCTGTCCTGTCTTCTCCGCATTAACTCTCTTAATGCATTCCTCCCATAACACATACACATAATCATAATGTTCACATCTGCAAAACTGTCACAGAGATTCCTATCACTAATTTTTGAGCATATCCCTAGAGGGATTTGTATCTCAGAAACTTTAGACAATGAAGCGAGCAATTGTGTGCAGTTGTATTGACTGAGATTGGCTAGACAAACAAGATTTCAGTTCAGGTACAAGTTCTGGTTGGGCTTTTATCTCAAGGGTATAGAACATGGGAGATAATCTGCCAGAAGCGACACTCTCTATGGGCCTGGAGTTTAGATTTCTTTTTCATCCCTCAAGGCCATTAAAGGAAAGGTTAGAAATTTTCTGGATCGTCACTGCCCTCAGAACAAAATGATTTCCATGTGTGATAATCTCTCTTGGTCCCTCTTCCCTTCAGTTATGCCATATAGTCTTGTTGTCTTCTTCTCTTCTAAGAAGATGGTGTTTTTTTTTTTTTTAATGTTTTATCCAGTCATTTAGCTGTGTTTGCACAAGTACAAATAACCTAATCCACTATTAGCCAAAATAGGGAGTTCAGCAAGTACTCTTGGACTCTGTTTTAAGTGCACATAGGGCCCAGGTCTGCATGTTCTGGGGTCTTGAACAACCTGGTTTGGATTGTGGTTCGGAAGTTGTACGGTAGTGTCCGGGGCTGACAAATAGAACAGAACTGAGCTCTCACAGAGCTTCATGGCAACAGAGCAAGAACTGTCAGTCTACCTTTTGTGCTGACAGGTGGCAGGAATCCAAAGGTACCAATGGATGGAGTAAAATGACTCATAAAGGTGGGTCTGTCACCAAAGAGTGAAGGAAATCTGATCATCTCAAATCCCATGTTATTAGAGAAGCTTTCTCCACACACTGTCTCTCTAGCCATGGTGTTTATATTGGACAAAAGATAGGTGTTGAAGACTTAAGTTTCAACTCTTTTGAATGTCTCTTTTGTTATTTGCAGAAGGATTTTTGTTTGTATTTGGGGGCCAAGATGAAAATAAACAAACCCTGAGCTCAGGAGAAAAATATGACCCAGATGCAAACACGTGGACAGCGTTGCCGCCAATGAATGAGGTAAAACATTGCTTTCATTAATTTGCTGGATAGGCTCCTCTTTTCCCTGTAGCACCTCTGTTTGTTTTGCATTTGAGTATAAGAAAAGAAGGCACCTCTGCCTCTCCTTCTGGCCTCTCCTTTTGGCCACTGACCTTACAGTTTTCCAAACCTTCTAGAATGCTCTTAGGGTGCTCCTGCATCAGGACCATTGCCATTTACCTATGTGGCCTGCTCCCTGGCTTTCTGCTCTGTGTGTCTACATAGGAAGGCCTTCTGTCCAGCCCTGTCTCCTCCCCTGCTTGCTTTCTCTTCATATCAGGTAGCACCTTCTCACATACTAGGTATTTTTAAACCACTCACACAAACACTTTAATGGAGGAAATTTGTCTTTTTTGTTCAGTTCTCTATCTTGGGTGCTGGGCACATAGGAAACACTAAGTAAATAACAGTTGACGAATGAATGTAAAATCCCTCAAACATCTGTTGTTCCAAATAACCTTAGCATGAACCTGTCCTCCCCGCCTCTCCCAGCCACAGCAGACCTTGTTGCTGCTTCTTCCTTATCTGTCACACATGGGCTTGGTACACTTACTGCTCACTGCTCCACACAGATCATTTTATTGACCCAGGAGGTAATAGTTCCCTTTCTTGCTGTATACTGTTGTGAGTAAAAAGTAGCCATTCTGCCAGCAAATGCATCCTGAATATAATTCCCTTGTTCTGAGGAGCTGGGGGGCATGGGTGCTTCTTTCTGTTGTAGTAGAAGAATGAGCCACTGGGTAAATCAGAACTTGTTGAGCATGGTGCTTTTGGACTGAAACTCTGCAATATAATTAGACCTGTAATTTTAATTAAATATGACCTTTTGGATAAAAAGATCTTTGATGTCTTTTCAGGCAAGACATAACTTTGGAATTGTGGAGATAGATGGAATGCTGTATATTTTAGGAGGAGAGGATGGTGAGAAAGAGCTGATTTCCATGGAATGTTATGATATTTATTCTAAAACCTGGACAAAGCAACCTGATTTGACCATGGTTAGAAAGGTGAGAACTAAATATTGTGATAAGTAGCTTACTTAAATTGGATTTCAAAATTAATATTTCTTCATTTCCAGGCCTCCCGGGTGGCACAGTGGGTTGAGCACAGTGCTGTGAAGCTGTCCGCAGCCTCTGCAGCGTGGGTTTGATTCCCGGCCAGCCAGGGAGATTCCCACATGGCGTGGCATACCTCTCCTGTCACGCCCACTGCTCCCCTCAGCAGTGCTTTCAGTCCATCTGCCTGTTCTCCCCACTCTGTCTCTGGTGAATCCTCTCACCCTCCCACGCCTCTGGCCTATACCCCAGCTCATGTGTAAATAAAAAAATAAATCTTTAAAAATATATATATTTCTTCATTTCCTACACGTCTTTTATTACAATTAATAATGTTAAAGACATTCATGTTACAGAATTCTGTCTCTATTGGTAGCTTGTCTTCACTCTCTTTAGCCCTACCCCAAGGAAACGCAGTGCTTTTAGCCTGGTGGCGGGCTCTGTGCTGCCCTGCTGTGTCCAGGGCTGACCCTGAATGCATGCTTTGTGAGTGCACTACCCTAGGGAGCAAGCAGATCTTCTATGCGTATTTCGTAATCATCATGCAGGGTGAGGGGCAAACATAAACCTCTAGGTAAAGAATTTGCTGAGTAGAGTGAAAACAAATGGCTCACGTGAGCTGTTTAAAGATAGTCTGCTGTATTTTATCCCCTGACCTAGGCAGGGAGACTGTCATCAAGGCAGAGCTTTGTCCAGTGCTGTAGGTATCTAACACCTTCAGTACTGGGATGCCCTCAAACGATGTTCTCTCATTGTTGGTGTCCTCTCAGCTAAATTCCAACTAACTCATTTTGAGCAGGGACAGAGGAGCATCTTACTCCATGGAATATAAATCTTGAAGTCTTTAAATAATGTTGAAAGAGTAGAGAGCTTTCCAGCCCCTAAAAGTGCTCTCTAGATATGTTATTATTCATCTGATTTTAATAATAAATGTCTCCTACCTGTTGTTCCCTCCTTCCAGATTGGCTGCTATGCAGCTATGAAAAAGAAAATTTATGCAATGGGTGGAGGATCATATGGAAAGCTTTTTGAGTCTGTGGAATGTTATGACCCAAGGACCCAGCAGTGGACTGCTATATGTCCACTGAAAGAGAGAAGGTGAGACATCATGGACATGGACTTGCAGGCTCCCCGTGGGTGGTTGCATCCGAAGTCCCTTCACCTGACTTTGCTCCTCTTTTCTTCCAAACTAACCTTTATTTGGTTTTGCATTTGTGTGTATTAAATTAAGTGAATAATCCATTTCCTGAGAAGGGAAGGTGACCCACATATGAAACCCTGAATGTTACAGTTAAAACAAGCATAAGAGGAATGAGGGAATCAGGGAATCAGACTGTGACTTATAAATGCAACACTTAATATGCTCTCTGTGCCTTTCAGGTTTGGAGCAGTAGCATGTGGTGTTGCCATGGAGCTGTACGTCTTTGGGGGAGTCAGAAGTCGAGAAGACATCCAGGGGAGTGAGATGGTAACTTGCAAATCTGAATTCTACCACGACGAGTTTAAAAGGTAATTTAAGAATGGGTTCATGTCCATTCTGCAGTTTTTTCTTTGTTTTCAGAGTCATGTTTTTCTTTTGTTTTCAAATTACTGAGTTTTCTTGTCTGTTTAGGGGATGTGTCTGATGCATACTAGATACTTGCTCAGTGATTTCACAAGTATTGGTAACTTGAAAGAAAGTCATAGAAAAGTCATGCATTCTAAAATGTGTATCAGACCTTGGCACTTACTTAAAAATCTCTCATTGTCCATCTACAACTTTTAGAAGAAAGTTTAAACTCCTTATTTAGTATATCTAGCCAGCCTCTTGTGATATGGCCTTTTGTCTACGCTTTCTGTACTGTTCAAACAAGATGCTTCACTGGAGTCATACTAAGCTATATTTCCCCCTGTACACACCAAAATGTGTTATTATTATCTTGACTTTGGGCTTTTGTATGCTTCCTTTTGCCTAAACTTGCCCTTCCCACATTTGTTCAGTTATTTGGCCTCTTTTCAAACTCTGCTTAACCATCACTCTTTAGAGAAAGCCTTCTTCTCTCTTGCTGCCTGATTTAGATTCCTCAGTCTGTGATCCTTTAACAGATTGTGGTTTCTCTCTGGGACTGTATTCGTTAACTGTAAGCTCCTTAAGGATAACATCCAGTGTGGTCAACTTTGGATTCTGACTTTTCGAATCAATTTGGCTTGTGTTAGACACGCAATAATGTTGATTAATTGGATGAAGCATGGTGTTGGAGATTCTTAATTCATCTGACAGATTTGCATATCTGTCTTGTAGAATAGGTAACATCCTTCCCAGCCATTTCCCCCTCTTTCCTCCTCTCATATGTTTCGGTGTTGTAACCACTCGCGAGTATTTTTATTGCACTATTATGTTCAGACCTTAATATAGCAGGGAAACTGCCACACTAAAATTATCTGGTTAAAGTATTACAATCATATTACCAGGAGGGGGTGCCATAATATAACGTTTAATTTCATAGTATTTTAGATTAAGGCAAACAGTGAGCAGTTGCCAATATTTTAGAAATACAAATAACTGTTACCTAACTTTTAATGTATTTTAACGTTTAGGGTATTTGCATAGCTTTTTTTTTTTTTTTCTCTTTCAATTACAGGGTTAAACTACCTTTGGAAAATTTATTAGACAAAGTGTGAAGGCATTCCAGAGGATGTTTGTTCTGGTGGGAGTAAGGAGCAGAATTTCAAAGATTTTTCTACATTTCTCTTCCTTAATAGATTACTGTGAGGGCTGATTGTCCAAGGTCTGAAGTGGCCTGTTAATTTCCTGCCCAAGTGAATTTTGAGACAGTCTGCCCAACTTCACAATAATCATTGTGTTTTCGGTAGAATATTGATAAAAGCCTTTTTTGTAATGTTTTAATTTCTCTTTCCACTATCTGAGATAGAGTACTATAACCAACCCGATGGGGTAATCAAGACTGCTTGTGGTTTTGATCACATAGGACTTAAACCTGGCTGTAAGGTTTTTTTCTATCTGCCCTTGACTTGCTATAGCTTGTTGGAAGGTTCTTTATTGTCAGGTTCTTTCATGTTCATAGTCGATAAACCTCAAATATAAGTGTATTACTTGGTTTCAGTTCATAATTGTCAAATTTAGAGGTTTTGTTCCTTCCTTGCTGTTTAAAAGCACTTTCAAATAAAATTCCTGTACCTTCAGTTTCCTTTTTTCCACCCTCTCCAGTGTCAATTTGTAAACAGAATGAAGAGAGCAGTATATTTTCTCTTGTCAGTCTTATGATGCATAAGATTCTTGTCTAGAACACAAATAACACTTCACTGCCATGTATTAACTTACTTAACTCAAAACAGACCTCTCAGACAGATCCTCTTTTTCTTATTTTTTACGTAAGAGGAAACCAAATCGAGAGGTTAAGCAACGTGCCCAAAAGACACACAAGGTAGCAAGCAACAGCTTAGAACCTGAACTTTGGCATCCTGACCAAAAGTCTGTCTGATCAACCACCATACTATATTACCTTAAGATTACAGGCTTTCCCATAAATACATAAAGGAGCAGTTTTAATTGTTAAAAGATAAATGTTTCACGGGTGTTATATTTGCATACTGTGGAAACTGTTGCCAGAGGAGCGATCTGTATAAGATCGGAGGCCATTATTGTTTTTAAGTAATCTCTTGCCTTTCCTGTCGTTGTTCCCTATTTTTAGGTTAAACTTTCCTGGAAAAATGCCATATCATATTTTCTGTGTTTCTGACTAAAAACAAGTGTTTGAAGGAGAGCAGAGAAAGTGCCATAAGTTATACTAAGTTGTAGTAACGTCTTAATATAGCCAGAAAGACAGTCTCTCTATTTCCATGTGTCTCTGTTCTACCTGTCTCTGTTCTTTTATTAATAAAACCACTCTCCCAGATATATATATACTCATCTTTGATTTATTCTTTGTTGTCCATGTCACTATTTGCTGCTCCTCCTTTTTGTAACCAATAATGTCACAATCACCTTCATTTCTCAGCCACTCCCCAGTGTAATCAGCCTCATAGCAAGTGTGTACATGCAGTGTCATTAGCCTCATAGCAAGTCTTGTATAATATATTTTACCTGCTTGTGCTATTGAAAAATTAATATGATTTGGTCATTTCATTCTCCTGTTGAACTTTTTTCATATTGTTCCATTGCTCACCAAATAAAGATAATACTACTTAGCCTCCTACTCAGAGACCTCCACAGTCTTTTTTTTCAATTTCATCCTTTCACATGTCCTTTACTCCCACTCACTTATAACCATCCAGTGCTTTGCTATTGCTGTGCGTTTGTTCAACCTAAACATCTTCCCCCTTTCAGTTTTATAGATAAATCATATTAGTTGCTCTTTGAAGCCTAGAGCTGTTTATTTCACCTTTTGATGCCTGAATGTGCAACTGAACAGAGCGACTTTGCAGCTGGTGCTCTGACCTATGGATTGGGCAGTCCTGGTAGGAATGGCTAAGCTGGAAGTCCCTGGAACTTTCCTTCCAAGTTAGGAAAAAAGAAGAGTACTACATCCTTAAGACATTTGCAGAAATTAATGTCACCATCACAGACATGAAAATGCAAGAGTGGTGATACCTATCCTAACGCCACTATGTTCACTTAGAAAAAGTAGAAAAGTCTCATGAATTTCAGAATATTGCAGTGTGCTTTCACAAACATAGTGAGTAGATTACACTAATTGTAGACTACTCAGTGTTGTGTTTTTAGGCAGCACAACCCCTGGCCTTGGTATGCAGCTGTTGACCTAACACTTTTTCCTCATACCAGCTGGTGAGGCCCCCCCCAACAAGAGTCATTTGTTTTTACCTGGCAAGACTAACAGTACCCCTGCACATCCTGCTATCTGCCATGTTAGTCCACAGAGATGTCAGGTCACAAAACATCACAATGTTCTACTCTATGGACCATGTTATGCTCTTTGGATCTGCTGATTAGGCAGTAGCAAGTAGTACAGATGTCTTTGTGAAACATGAACAAGAGCATTGGAGACGAACCTCACTCTGGGCCAAACTTGTTTCACTAGTGACATAGTCAGGAGGCAGAAATATGAACAAGGGAAATTTAATATCTGTAATTACTAACTAGTAAGAGGTGGTTACCTGCTAACGGATGGAAAAGGACTTGAATGAATACAGAAATAGCTAATGTAGGAAGCATAACTACTTTCTTTAGGACTGAGGGAAAATGCCCCAAGAAGGAGCAAATTGGAGTTCTCCCACCCCAAAAGGCTAGAACTCACCTCACCTGAAGAGGGTGGGTACCTGTGGGCTTTCTACTTGCCCTTCCAGCAAGTAGTGGTGAAGGAGGAGGAAAACAAGGCACCCTGATCCCAGGAAAGCAGGCTCTCCTTTCTCCTGCCTTGTGGGCCCTTAAGTGCCCTCTGTTGACAAAGACGGACACTGCATTTATTTTTCAAATAAACACTGCTCATTTTCTCAATTGTGTATTTTTCTGTTCCATTGGTTTCTGTTCTTATGTATATTATTCCCTTCCTTGTACTTTCTTTGGGTTTATTTTGCTCTTCAGGTAGAATTTTATTTTTTTTTTAAAGATTTATTTATTTATTTATACAAGCACTGGGTACAGTCAGAAGCGCGGGAGGGTGAGAGAATTCACTAGAGCCAGAGCGGGGAGCAGAGCCGGCAGAGGGACCGAGGTACACTGCTGAGGGGAGCAGAGGGTGGCAGGAGAGGTCTGTGCGCCATGTGGGACCCTCCTCTGGTGGCCAGGGAGCAGCCGGGGATCGAACCGGTGCTGCAGAGGCTGCGGGCAGCTTCGCAACCCAGCGCTCAACCGCTGCGCCACCGGGGAGGCCCCAGGTAGAATTTTAGATCTTTTTTATTTCTGTGCTGAAATCTCCAATATTTTCATCATAAGCATATTTTCCTTTCCCTTACTGAGCATGGTTAGGTGGCTGCATTCAAGTCCCTGCCTGATAGATAATCCCAGCATCTGAGTCATCTCTAAGTTGGCATCGTTGGTTGTTTACTCCCTTGAGGATGACTTCTCATTTTCTGGCTCTTCTTTTGTTGAGTAATCTGGATCACATCCTGGATGTTGTGACTGGCCTTTTGTGGAGGGCCATGTGTCAACTGCTTAGTGGTGTTGCTCTGGGAGTTTGAGCAGCAGTGGACTTGGGAAGATAGGCTCAGGGTATCCCCCTTGGGCTCTTGCCTCGTACTGTACACAAAAATTAACTCAAAATATAAGACCTAAATATAAATTACCAAAAAGCAATATAGGGGAAAAGCTTTTGCAGCCTTAGAGTAGGTAAAGATTTCCTAGAAGGAAACAAAGCATGAAGGGAAAAAAGAATAAATTGTAGTGAATTGAAATTTAAAACTTCTGTTAAGTTTCCATTTAGAAAATAAAAGACAGTCCATGGCTGCTGTGGGAAATTCTCGTAATATATGTATCTTATTAAGGAGATGTAACCACAAAACATCAAGAGTCTTATATAATTCAGTAAGAAGACAGAAAACCCATTTTAAAAACCAGCACATATTTGAGCAGACATTTCACAGGCTTGACCCATTATTATGAAATGGCCAATGAGCACCTACACCTCTTCCACATTAGTCTCCAGGGAAGTACACACCACTCAAGTGACTAAAATGAAGACAACTGACAGTACCAAGATTTAGCCATAATGCTGAGCGTTGGAATTCTCAGATATTGTTAATTGAGATGTGTGATGGCAGAACCTTTGGGTAAATAATGCAGTATAAATAACAATATAACAATAAAGTATACTTTATTAAGGTATAATAAATATACCTTTAACGATATAACCTGGCAATTTCATTACTTAAGCATCCAAGAAAAGATTTGAACTCTGATATTCAAAACGGCATTGTTGGGAGGTGCCCAAGTGAACATGAGCAGGTGAATGGATTAACAAATTCATTAACAAATTAGAAATCAAAAGAATTGAATTCTTGATGCAAGCAACACTTGATTGACTCTTGGAGACACAGTGCTTTGCAAAAGAAGTAAATTGAAAGGCACATGCTCCTTAAAGCAGTACTTAGAGGAATTCCTATAAAGAACTAGATGTCTAAACAGTACCCCTCCCTTATGTGAGTGGGGGGATACCTGAAACCACAGACAATATCAAACCCATACACACTACATGTGTTCACATACATGCATGCTCATGCTAAGTTTTAATTTATGAATTAGACACTGTAAGATTAACAATAATAACAAGATATAACACATAACGAGAATGTGGTCTCTCAAAGTATCTTACTGTACAAAATTATCTGGACCATAGCTGACCATGAATAACTGAAAACATGGAAAGCAAAACTGTGGATGAAGGCATTGCTGTATTAGAAAAGGAAAAAAAGCTCTCAAACCAAAGACCTCACTTCTTCCATAAGAAATGGGAAAAACAGGGCCTGCCCTGGTGGTGCAGTGGTTGAGCACTGGGCTGCAAAGGTGCCTGCAGCCTCTGTAGCACTGGTTCGATCCCCGGCCTCCGGCGAGGGTCCCACATGGCACACAGGCCTCTCCTGACGAGCCTGCTGCTCCCCTCAGCAGTGTATTTCATCAGTCCATCTGTTCTGTTCCCTGCTCTGGCTCTGGTGAATTCTCTCACCCTCCTGTGCTTCTGACTGTACCCAGTGCTTGTATAAATAAATAAATAAATAAATCTTAAAGAAAAAAAAAAAAGAAATGGGAAAAACAGGAACAAATAAACCCAAAGGAGGCAGAATAAAGGAAATAATAATAAATATTTATGTGGAAACCAGTGAGATACAAAATAGATTTTAAAAACTAAAATCCAAGAGCTAGAAGCTGAAGCTTTGAAAATATTAATAATACAGATACACCCCTACCCAGATTGATCAGGAAAAATAGAAGATACACATTAGCAATATTAGGAATGACAAGAGTGCCATAACTCAGATAGTACATAATTTTTACAAGATAGTAAGACTTATATGGACATTATAAAATATATATTAAGGCATTATGAATAAACATTCAGATCCAGCCAAGAAAGAGAACCTCTGGTAAATGCTGTCAGTATTCAGAAACAACATAATAAGGTTATGTGCTCAAAGAAGTGTTCAATGGGCCTCCCTGGTGGCACAGTGGTTGAGCACTGGGCTGCAAAGCTGCCTGCAGCCTCTGCAGCGCCGGTCCAATCCCCGGCCACTGGCGAGGGTCCCACATGGTGCACAGACCTCTCCTGCCGTGCCCGCTGCTCCTCTCAGCAGTGTACATCATCAGTCTGTCTGTTCTGCTCCCCACTCTGGCTCTGGTGAATTCTCTCACCCTCCTGTGCTTCTGACTGTACCCAGTGCTTGTATAAATAAATAAATAAATCTTAAAAAAAAAAAAAGTGTTCAAGGTTCAGATGAATTTAAGGACTGAGATAGGTGAGTGGTATATTTTAAACTATATATATAACAATTCATATTATCTCTGTGGTATGGTGAGAAGATAATGCTTCTTGATTCCTTAATTTGGTGCTAGAGAATCTCTGGATGGTGAGGATAATGAAGGCTTTGAAGGCCTATGGATATGTGTTTAAGTATTGAGTCTATTTGTGTCTGACTGTATGATCCAGAACTCATCTCATTTATGGGGGAGTCTGTCATAAAAGTGTTTTTGTAAAGATAAAATGGAATATGATATGTAATGGTAAATAGCATTCTTCAAATAAGTTATGTCTTTAAATAAGTTATATTATAAAAAATGAATACTCTTTAGGGCCTCCCCTGGTAGCGCAGCAGTTGAGCGCTGGGCTGCGAAGCTGCCTGCAGCCTCTGCAGCACTGGTTTGATCCCCAGCCACCGGCGAGAGTCCCACATGGCACATAAATAAATAAATAAATCTTTAATAAATAAATCTTTAAAAAAATAAAGAATACTCTTTATAATTTAATGTATATGACATTCTAGAATAGGCAAAACTAGTATCTGTAGTGACAGGAAGCAGATCAGTGGAACGGGGCAGGGAGGCGGGTGTTGAGACTAACTAGTACTATTGATGTCCCACCTGGTCTTGTCTCATTTCCTGGATTTTATGGTCATCCTTTGAATTTCCTTTATTTTGTCTATTTGCAGGTGGATCTACCTTAATGACCAGAATTTATGCATCCCAGCCAGTTCCTCTTTTGTTTATGGAGCTGTACCCATAGGAGCAAGTATTTATGTTATCGGAGACCTTGATACAGGTAAGAATGTGGCATTGATTTTGTTGGAGCTGGTTCCCAGGGGTTCAGAGGCTGTTGTCTCACCTTTGCTCATTCTCGTGCTTTAGGTACCAATTACGACTATGTGCGTGAGTTTAAAAGGAGCACAGGAACCTGGCACCACACTAAACCACTGCTTCCATCCGACCTGCGCCGCACTGGGTGTGCAGCCTTACGCATTGCGAATTGCAAGCTTTTCCGCCTGCAGCTTCAGCAAGGCTTATTCCGCATCCGAGTGCATTCCCCGTGAGAGGGAGCAGAGCAGAAGCAGAGCCCCGACCAAGTGCATACACAACGGCTCTCTGAGGGGACAGGCAGCAGCGAAGCCTGCTCTATGCGCCTGCCTTTGTCTGGTACCTCTCGTGGTTTTATAGTGCTTAAAAGCTTGAGCTTCAGCTCTGGTTTGGGAGAACACATAACTTTTAAAAAACCACCTGGGAGGAATCAGTTCCTCCAGTTTGATGTGTCTGTAAACGAGTGGAGGCTAGTAAGTGTCAAAAGGAAAAGGGAAGTGGGAACTGGTACAATGTAAAATATTGAAGTTAAAAATTAAGGTGCATTTTCCCTGAAGGGAACTCCTATCAGACAGACTGCTTTGTTCCAGTACCTGGCTTTGGTAAACAAACAAAACCCCATATATGCAAATCAACATATCCAAACATACCAAGATTGCTTTTATACTGCATTTGGAAGGAAATATTATGCCTAACCCTGCCCAAAAACTTAAGGTTTGTGCCTAAATATTAGATTGGGCTATAAGCCAGTTAGTCTCCATTTACTAGTACTCTGTTCTAAGAATCGTTTGAAAACTAGATTATGATGAATAGAAACTAAGATAAAATTTCTCTTTTATGACATTCTATCTTAGTAATCTGAAGATTCAATAATTTAACGAGTCAGGTTGCAGCCCTCACATGAATTTACAGGAAGTTGCTGACATCTCTGTTAATGTAGGGTCAGGTGCATCATGCTGTCACCTCTGGGGCAAAGCTCTTGGAATTGTAAAGGATCTCATGCCACACTGTTCTTCCTTTTCAATTCACCAGAACCATTTGATAAATAGGACACTAGTAAGTAGGAGATTTTATAAAAGAAAGGCCCAAGTCAGACAAATAATTAAGGTCTGCTGATGACTTAAAAAAGAAAAAAAAGAAAAAAAGAACCCTATCCAGATAAAACATATAGCGATCAAAAACTTTTAAAAATACAGTCTCCGACTTACGATGGCTCATTGTAGGGTTTTTTGACTTGACATTGATGTGAAAACAATACCTGTTCTGTAGCAACCACTGCACTCCTGTGATGCAGGGCCATGCAGGCCACCACATCTCCCAGTGCGCGTGGTCACTGACGATATTTCCCACATAGGACAGGTCTGTGGGTATATGACCCCATCGTAAGTCGAGGAAGATCTGTACTCTGAAAGCACACAGTCTTGTTTACTACTGCACAGAATTTGAAAACTTGTCCTAGGATGCGAACCTCTGTTAAGAGTCTAGTCCTTGTAGTGGAATTTTCTTGATGCCGTTCACTAGTAAGAGTTTTAGACAAATTATGTTATGAGTAAAGTTTGGCTGGTAGAATAAACTACCTCAACTTAATTTCATTCTGTTCATAGTCGAGCATATTCATCTTTTCCTCCTTTCTCTCTCATTCCCAAGTCAGCCCACTCCACCCCACTACCCACCGGGGGAGAAGAGACCATCATTGGTGGCACTTATCTTGTAAGATATTTTGTTTTCCATTCAAATTATACCACCTCCATGTGACATCAAGAACTTCGGAGTACTTGATTACATCATAATTTGAATTTTATGCAATATCAGATTTCTAATCAATTTAATATAGTTCACTTTGAATTGTTTTCTACCAGTTTTTTTCCTCTTAGAATAGGACTATAAAGGCAGAATTTTTGTCTTAACGATTAATAAATGTACACATGTATCCTTTGGTTGTAAATCTGAGAACAGGAATTGCTTCTAGAAACTTTCTATAAGGAATGTTTGTATGCTGTTACCATGCATATGAAACATCACTTATATTTTCCCACCCACAAACAGAAAAAAAGGTGACCTGGCTGCACTTTCTTCTTACACCTGTTAGGAGTCAGGCCTTTTAAAAGCTGCTGAAAGGAGCCCTGCCCGTGGGCTGCTGAAGAATGTCCTGTGTGACACAGGCCCTCTCTGTTCTGGCAGAAGATGTTGGTACAAGCAGGTATGAGGTTTTTATCTTCTCATCAGAGGCATTACGCCAGATTGCCACACATTCACATAACATGATCAATTCAAAATAGAAAGCAAAGCCAGCTTTTCCCTTTGTGTTTACTGTCGGCTGTGGTCTTGTACTCTCCCGCACTCTGGATACCTTTTCATCATAAGGCCAGTGGCCAGTGCAAAGAAAGAAAACTTTCTTCTTGTAATTAAATAGGAGTTTTAGGGCATCTGCTGAAAAAGTAAGTTTTCTTTGGTAAGATATCTTATACGGTATAGAACATTCAGAAGCTGCAGCTGAGAGTACATTGAAGTAGTAACCGAGAGTCTAAGAAAGCTGTGGTAAGCAGTCATTTTTTCTTCATTTCTGAAGTTTATATCACCAAGGAGACAATTCATTGTTTAGGAGTGATGAATGGGTCCCTATTGCAATATTCTCAGTGCCTGTGTGACTTGGTCAATTCCTTTTATAAAAGTAGTTCTTTTAAAATTTAGTTCATTGACACTGTAGCTGCAGAAATTAGGTATTGTTTTTTAAAATAAATTTGCCACATAATATGGGATGCAATAACCAACAAAAGCTGCTAAGTGCTAAACCCTTGTTTTACTTATATAAATATAAAAATATTATGTTGAAGTGTAGGGAGGTATTTAATTTTATTATGTTCCAAAATTAATGATGACTTTTGGTAACTTACAGTTATTTAAGTATTGTGAAATAAATTTTAACTCATTTCATGCAGGTTTGTGTTTTAACATTCCACTTATGCCTTGACACATCTTTTCTTGTTGAATTTTTGGTACTTCTTTCTTTTATAAGGCACTTTTACCAGTTATATGTGGGGATTGGTGGCTGAGGCTAGATTTTAAAATGTTTAATATAAAAATCTTTGGGAGAAGTGCAATTTATTTTCATTGCCCTACCCGTAGAAGGAAAGTTGTCTCAGGTTAGAATAAGTGCATATTTAAAAGATCTTTCCTAGGCTATAGTCTAAACTAGGTTTGTTTGTTTCCTTGTTTAACACATCCAAATATAGATCTTTCAAAGAATTGCATGTTTAGTTTAAAATGAAGATTTAATTTGCGTGTTTCTATCTTGCAAGAAGAAAAGGTGTGTGAGAGATTGAGTGTGTGTGTGAGAGAGAGTGAGAGAGACTTGGTAAGTCTGTTTGTAGATGTTTACTTTTTGAATTGTAGTTCCATACTACATAAATTACTGTCTCCTGGTGCTTCAGATAAATTCTTGAGCCTGTGGCCCTTTGGTTTATACTACTGTGTTAAACTCACGTTGAGTGTAAATATTGAAATATTTGTAGTTTGTAGTAAGTTTTACTTGATGTTTGCATTTCTCCTCTTCAGTGAGATTAAAAAGTGTCTACCAATAATAGTTGGTAGCTATTAAGATTCGGCCTAAGGAGATCTCTAAATTCTTTATTTCCTTAGTTTATTATTTTGTTTCTGTGAGTAGCTAATAGGCTATTTTCAAACTGCAACAACCAGAAAAAGAATATTAGGGACCCGCAGGACGGTGTGTCTTGATATTGATGGATTGTATTATGTTGCACTAGCACCTTCATGCCGGCACTTTGGAAGTGCCTTTTTATCCTTTGTATGTGGGGGAGTTCCCTTGGCAATGTACAGGAACTGCATTCTCTGTCCTGACCCTGTAAAGGTGGGGCTAACTTTGCTGTGACCTACATTACCATGGGCAATAAGTTGGGTATTTAGAGATGTTAAGTTAGCTGCTTTGGACCATTGGCCTTCCATGTGGCCCATATCTGCTTGCATGTACCAATCCAGGATCCCAGAAGTTTTCCAGGGTTTGCTATAAACTAAACATTACAGTATTACCTCCAAGAATGTTGCCTTTCCTAATTAAGGAGAGGCCTCCTATGGTCCTAGGTTAGTCAGCAAAACCTTTTGAGCCCCTACTAAGAATTCTGCTTGGATTTCTGGGGAACTCAACAGTGGGGCAGATGTAACACTGTCCTCTCTGTAGATGGTAAGCCTCTTGTGGGCATCCATCCTCTTAGTCATCTGCTAAATCCCATACCTGCCACACAGTAGGTTGTCAGTATCTGACCAATGGCTACCTTCCACTCATGATCTGTGTGCTGGTCTTCCCAGGATTGAAAAGTCTCCCACAGTGACTTATTTTGCTGGATTTTACATGAGCAACTTGGCACACATGGGGCTGGTTAATATAGAGTGGAGACTCATACAGACTAGACTGTGCAGAGCCTGGCACCTGACACACCACGCTGGTCTCCATACGTCCTGCAGGGTCTCTGAGACCTGACACACTGCACATTACCAACATTTATTACCTTTAATCTTGGATTTTGTTTACTATATTTTATATGGGGCTGAAATCTTTCCCAGAACCCACTGCATTGATCCTCACATCTCTGTGATGGGTACTGCGTCCCCCCCACCCCCCCACCCATTGGATGGAGCTCTGTCTTGGCTGTCATCTCAGGTTTGGATGTGAATAGAAACCACAAGCAGAAGCTGGGGCTTCAGATTTTCATTTTACCTGTTATTACCCTGCTAGATTTTCATCTAATCTTTTGGCACACAAGCATTTTTAATAAAATAATCATTTTCAGTATAACTTAAACCCCTAAACATGTCCTTTGCAAGTTGCACTGATCCAAGCTGAAAGAAGAGAAACAGTGTATTTGAAAGAGAAACTTTTTACTTTCAAAGAGCTGATACTTCATTTATACCTGCTTTACCACATATAATCAGTAAGGGGAAAGAAATTGTATCTTAGAATGTAGAGGAAAATATTTTGCCAGCTTTCTAAGAATCACTGCAATATTTTGTACAGTGGCTTCAGAAATCATAGCAATTTATGGCATAAGGGTAACTGACCTTCTTGTCCATATCTTAGACGAGTAGGAGCTTCTGCCAGCTGGCAGTGAGGTTTCCATAGGATTAAACTATTTTCTGTCTCTTTGGCAAGCCAGCTGGTAAAACTGTAAACATTTTTGTATTTTCAGAAGTAATTCTGTTATTACTTTGACTTTTAACGTGTCTCACCTTTGCCTCATTGCAGTAGTTCCACTTACATGACCTATAAGGAACTCAGTTATGCTTGGCTGTGTCTGTATTCTTTGGTCCGATGCAAACAGTTTAGGAAAGTTTGTTCTTTTTCAATCCTGTCATTGAAGCTCTCTAAGTGATTGGAGTTTTTGACTTTCTCCCTTTCTCGTGAAATCAAATATCTAATATATAAAAACAATGTAAATTAAGTCGTTAAGAAATGTCTGTTGTCTTCTCTATTTTGAGATTAAAAACTAGCCTTTTAAGATTACTAAACTGAAATTTAGTCTAATTATAATTTCTTATTTTGATGCCCTCATGGCCAAACACAGTTGTTGTAAATTCTTAAGTCACTGTGATTTGAATTCAAGAAGTCATGGGAAGGTGGGGGAGGAGAACAGCACCCAGATGCCAGACACATTGCATCTGTTGGAATGAGAATGATTAGCCAGCTACTATGGTTCACTGTAAAAAATGGCCATTTCACTAATTCAGATCTCAAGTGGAGGTAGGTAGGGTCATTCTTCTCTCTGGTTGGTCAATTATTTGTATTAGAACTTTGTTTTTAAGGACTTCAGTATGAATGGTAGGTTCTACAGTATCTTATTTTTATTGTTCTTACTTGGCAATTACAAATAAGGTGTTTTGGGGGGGTAATTTTTTTCAAGTTAAATCAGTGAACTTGCTTTAAATATGACTCTCTCTAGTTTACTTTATTGTGCTTCCTGTTTAATTGGATGAGAAATGTATGCATTTATTCCCTTGTTCTTTGTGTTGATTGGAAAACTCTGCTCTTGGCTACCTCATTATGTCGTGTGCTTGATCCCCTGCCAGTTTAGAAGAATTCAACACATTCTGTCCTTTAACAAAAGCCTGGAAGCAAGCGGTAAGCGGCCTTGAGGAATACAATTCTCTAAGGCGGATTTTTCCATTTTACTACTTTTTTTTTTTAATAGGCACTTTTAATCAGGAGGAACAATAATTCTCCTAGAGCTGCTGCAAAGTGATTACTTGAAACCCAACTTGAACTTTAAAGAGTCTTTAAAAGGCTATGTTTTCATAACGTAGAAAAGTAGTGTATTTAAACACCACTGCTGTGTAAAATAGAGGGCTTAATTTCTATCCTTGTGAAGATCAGACGGGAATATTTGTCTATCTGTAAATTGACCCTGGAATTTAGTTTGAGGCGACTATTTTCATTTTCTATAAGGTGCTATTACAAACAGTTTAAGGATGTTTAAGTGTATTTTCATGAATTCGTTTGCCATTAATTTTTGATTTTGATGAAAATAGAGGCTCATTACTAAGTTCCTCTTGTCTTTTAGATCTGAGGGTTTAAGAGGAAACTCTGAGAGGGTTTCCTCAGTGCAGGGGTGAGGTTGGCCAGACGATATAGAATTGCATCATATTTGTTCGATGTGTCCTCAGACTGTGCCTTCCCTCAGGGCACATGTGGGGCTCTGTCCTCCCTGGCATCTGGCAGCGGACCTGCTCACCAAGATAGGGGAGCCGAGACACCCATCAATTCCGATGGTAAACCTTCCCCTCCAGGAGGGATTTCCTGTTGGAGTTACCCAGTATCCCTCATGGCCAAAAGAGTTATTGTGTCTGTTCTGAAACACCCAGGAGAAACACTTGTACCAGGAAGAATCTAAAAGCTTAGCTCCCATTAGTAAGACTCCATGTTCACCCTTGTGTGATTTCAAGTCAGATTTGTTAGATGACAGTTGCTTAGCACACGGGGCTCTGGTAACAAGCCATTTCCTTCCGTGGGCTTCAGGGGGACCAAGACTGGCCCTTTAAAGCTTTCTTAATTCAGTTATTTTGAGGAAAACATTCTGTGTACTTCGCTGAGCAAACCTAGAGCCTACCAGCATGGGTCAGCTTTGGCATCGTTTACCTGTGGGTTTGAAGACTCGACCACTAACTGCTCTGTGATCTTCAGAAATTTTTTAACCCCACAGTTTCTCAGCTGTGGGATAACAACTCTGGGGGTGGTGTGGGGGCTCAGTGAAGTCATGAAGGTGAGCATTGGCATCACACGTGCCTTTGCGCATACACCGCTGTGGTTATGACTGAGGCTGCTGTCTCCCCTCGCTGTGAGCCTCTGGTCGCTGACATGTCAGCAGCTGTGGGGTAGGGGCTGCCCCTCACTGGGCTTCAGGTGTCTTCGTTCTGTGTCCGTGACATACATTCTAGCCCCTGCCACGACTCCCATCCACATCTCTGATATTTACATTCAAAGTAATCCTAGGTAGCTGAAACATCTGAAAATATGTTTAGAATATTTAGATCTGTTATAAATAACCCTGAATTCAGGATATGCCTAATGTAGTCCTCTAGTGATACTTAGAAGTCTATCAGAATGAAATTGTCCCTTTTTCCCTAAAAAATCTGAAGTGTTAGTCTATATTGATCAATAACCTGGATATTTTCTAGGTCTCTATTTGAGGTCAGTAGACCTATGCCTTCTTTCTTAACTTGAATATTACGTGAAACTTAAAAAGAGAGCAAACATAATTTGTGTTGTGTGTGTGTGTGTGTGTGTGTAGAACTTTTGTACCGTCAATTATAGAAGGGTTATATATAACAAAGTAATATAGAAAGTGAACTATTTAATACTTTTATAATATCACTTCCTTTCTAGTTCAGCTGATGGGACTAGAGGTTTAGCTGTATGAAACAAGCCCAGCTTGTCTTGATTTTAATAGGAGATTTGATGAAGTCACTCTTGATATCTTTGTGAATGAGAGAAAGAAATAGAAATAGGAGTGAAAGTGCTAAAAAAACGGCCTGAACAGCCACACCCAGACAGTGTAGGTAAGGATGATCCTCGTCAACTTGGACCAGTGACTCAAACTATCCTTTGTAACATTTGTATTAGTAACTTGTCTAAATATATAGAAGGCTGAGAACAGTGCTGGGAGGGATTAAGTGTTGGGTATTAGAGTCTACAGCCTAATAATGTCTTATGTTTAGTTTAAAAAAGATAGTTCCTAATTAAAAGAGAAAGGAAAAGTATGGCATAGGAGTTTTCATTATTAGAACCTAAGCAAACTGTGATTGGAAAAAAAGCACATATCTTTATAGGGCTGGTAGCTAGAAAAATAAGTCAGTTCTGCTGCTTTGGGGTACTGCATGGGGTGGGCCCCTGAACCACCTACTGCAGTAAGCTGTCAGTACCAGGCAGCCCCCTGTGAGAGCCCAGAGCATACCTGGAGGCCATCTGGAGGATCCCAGCTTGGGGAGGGGATGTTTCTAGGAGCTATCCAACACCTGCCCCACCCCCTCAAAGACCGCAGGTTCTGACCCTAAAGAAGTCTTAGGAGGAAGCCCTAAGTTGGCATGTGTGCTTATGCCAACAGGCAGAAGCTACAAAGATAGAGTCTCTGAAAATCACAGGGATGAGTCCTGCAGCTCTGACTTGCAAACTGTTCTGTAAACAGTTCATTGAAAAGGAAGAAAATAACGCTTATACTTCAACTTTTTCGTTGTGAGAAGAGCCCTCCATTTTCTCCACTGAGCTCTCCCTGTTCTTTCCTGCCCTCCATTCCTCCATGCCCACCACCAGGTCTCCCACTGAGGCCATTTTAACCCTTCGCACATAAGAATTTTAATTCTAGCAGAACTTTGAGAAATATGCATTCATCTAGAGATTCCCACAAGACTGTTATCAACTTGAACAGTGATTCTTGCTTTGTATAATTTCTAAGTCTCTCAGTACCTCTGCAGTCAAGATAGCTGAAATTATATTCTTTTAAGCAGAACCCATGGGTGATCCACAGCCCAGGGTGCAGTAGAGGGGAGGGGGTCATAGCACTAAGGAATGGAGTTGGCTGAGCTTCCAGGCCCCTTCCCACTCTGGGAATCAGCAGCCTTGCTGAGGACTACCTTTTTGTTCTTGAAGAAGAATTTCCAAAGGACACAATTCCTCTTCTGTTTTGTCTCTCCTCTGAAAGCACATGCCATCTTAGTTCCAGGGGAGAGAGGAGGCACCACACTAGGTGTGTATCTGCCCAACAACACCTCCCCCGCACCCCCCCACCCCCCCACCCCCCACTCCACCCCCCCACGCTTGGTGAAAGGATCAAGCATAATTGGAGATGCAGACCCAGGTCCATGAGGGTGGGGGTTGGGTGGGTCTGTTTTTGTGTGTGTGCGCGCGCGCGTGCGCACGCGCTCGTGCTCTTTCCCGAATCATCTTCACTTAGTAATAACCTTTTGTTTGATTGAACTAGTGTGGCTACCCAAAGATCCTGCTTAGTGGAAGCCCCCTGAAAAAATAGGTCCTTCCCACAGTTGGTACTTCTTTATGTATTAGTTGAAGGACATCAGTCAGTGTGGACAAAAAGGGAGTCGATGTTACGTTTTCTAGAGTCCTTCCACTCGCACTTGCCAGTTGCATGCCTGCCCTGCCCTCGGTTCCTTATCCCACCTCTCCCAGCCTGGATTTTTAACTGCTTGGATTAGGTATCCAAAAAAGGGTGGGAGGGACCTCATCTTGTATTTGAGACCATGAACCTAAAAATATTTATTGGAAAGGCTTTCTGATGGGAACCCCCCCGCCCCCCAAGCTGGCCCTCGTGGCCCACTGGCCCCACTTCAAGAAAGCTGGATGTGCCCCCAAGCTAGGCAACCTCCCAGAGTCTGCACTGTTCTGTTCCTCCCATGTAGAACTTGTGGGGTGCCACCCAGAGCCTCTCCCCACCTGAGGCAAGGTCAACTGTACATCTGACTCCTTGAGCAGCAGAGACTTGCTCTTGGGGCGCCTCTAAGCCTGGAGAAGGGGCTCCAAATGCCCCACATTCTTTCTACCTCAGCCCCCAGCCCTGAGGCTGTGCTGCCCCAGATTTCCTGCGACATGTTCAGAACCTGGGTAGCTCTTAGGAGCACCACCCAGATGGCTGCCATCAGACATCTCTTCCTACAGAGGCCGTTCTAGCCTGTCTAGCCAGGATTTGTTAGAGCAGAGTGAGGCTTTGTTTCCCTTCCTCCAATGTAGCTCTGACTTAAAAACACACTGTTCTCCAAGTTGTAAGTAGCATCTGAAGCTAGAATTGCTTGTTTACAATAGGAGATACCTTTTTCATATTCTTCCCAAGGAGTTTTTGCTTCAGAAAATATTGCAGAAAATAAATCTGCCATATATATTCATTAAATTTAACTCTTGTGCTTTGTTAAAAAAAAGAAAAACATAGAATGTGGTACATGGGGCAAAGGCAGCATCATCAACTTCAAAACAAACCCTCAATTTATTTGCATTTATGGCATCTTTTTCCTGTATGGGATCTCAAAATGCCAGTTCTGCATGAGAGCAAATAACCCAGGTTCCATCGGTAAAGAATTTCACGTTGTAAATGTATTTGGTGGCCTTTGTCAAGGAAAGCACACGGTAATTTTTTCTGCTGATGGGATCCTTTTAGACTCATTTGTAACACTGCTCTTGTTTGGTTCCTCATTCCTGTGTTCCTTCAAGTCAGCAGTGACCTAGTGATGCTTGTTCTGTTTGAATCATTCCATTTGTGAACTGTGACAAGCCGGTGGCTTCAGCGGGAATGTTGAGCATCCTTATGCAGTGCTGGTTCCACGTGAGCCCCTCCTTGCCCCACACATCCCCTCTCCTCTTCATAGGCCCTTGCCACTGCAGCACTTCACACGTGTTCTAGCGACAAAGATGTCTGTATGTATGTCCCTGTGATTGAGACCCATCCAGAAACTCGTTATAAATGTGTAGCTTCATCTGTTTTCCATCACCAATATGGGTCTTCTGCTGTGAGAGGAAGCTGTCAAGGAAATTCCTTAAAACGGGGTTGTAAAATCAGCTTTAGTGGGGGCTGATCTTCCCAAGGGGCTCTAGTCCCTCAGGAAGACCAGTGTCACCCCTGCTTGCAGGTATGTCCTGAAAGCCACCCTCGTCAAGAACTGGTCTTTATCCAGCACACTCTTGATTTGTCATTTTTATGCTTTTATGCCATAAGGAAAACTTCATAAATAACTTCATAAAAAACTTCATATAAATGGCAATAATGCCACATCAAATTTCACTTGGTTAATCACAGATCTTTGTTTCTTCAACATATCCATATTTTCTGACATGATACATACAGATTAGTTTTAAACTTAAATCCTGCAGCTTTTATTATCTAGTAAGAATCTGCACTGAGAAAGAGGTGTGTTCAGATGAGGTTGTGTTGTGTGTGATATTCTGAATTTTAAACAAAGATCTGAAAAACAGGGATTTTCAATGAAAAATACATCAGCTTGACACAATGTGGAAATGAAAGACAATATAGAAAGCTCAGAACATTTGAAGCACTGAGAAGTTGCAGCTTGTCAAACTGTATTCCCCAAATTCCGTAGTATAGCAGAGAAATTGTGCTAATGTGATTTCACTGAAATGTCACATCTCAAATGTCCTGTGATCAAAATGTATTTGTTCTGTGGAATCATTTTCTATTTCTTTGCTGGTATGAAATTTAGCAAAGTTGAAATAGTTTTGAATTAGTTAAGTAACCTTTCTCTCAAAGTTGCTTTATGGTTTACAAGTAGTACTGATGCAAAGAGGCTGTGTTAACTTCCTTCAGTCGATTAGCACGCTCTGTGTTTACACGCTCTGTGTTTACACGCTTCAGTTTCTTGTGGGGCCACAAGGGTCAACCCTCTCTGTGAGCACAGGCCCTGTGTTTTGGGGACATTCTCAATTGTGCTGTTCTCTTATACCAAGGATCAGTGAAAGCGTTTTATCTTTTTTATGTAGTTTGTATCGACTGGATTTTATAACTGTAAGAAAACAGAAACAGAGTGTTGTATTTTGACCTGAAATTTGTGTATGGTAAAGTAATTTTGTTTTATGTATTGGACGTTCATTTAAAACTTGAAATATTTTCTAGAAAGGTAACAAAAATGAATCATCTTTAAGCTGTTTAATTAAACTAATAAAACAATTTGATGGGGAAGGCATTCTAATTGGTTCTCATACTTAAAGTGACTCCTGCTAAGTTAGTGATATTAATACAACTTGAATTATGAAGAGAATGTTTTGTTTTTTACAACTCACAGTTTGGGTATCATCCCCTAGATCCTGGCTCATGATGTTGGATAAGCCCCTTGCCAGCCACATTCAGCAGCCATTGTCTGTATATATTCAGCCCCATCAGATACCTCTCCATGATGTCTTGCCCAAAAAAATTGGTTTCGAATTTTCTTTTCTCCAAAGTAAGAAAACAGGCTTAAGAGAAATAGAACTTGATGTCAAGGGTGTAGTTATAAGTTGGAGAATTCCTTCTGTGGAAAATAGAAATCATCTATAATTTTCTCTTACTACTGTAAACTAAACCTACAAAAGGACAATGGTTTCAAAAAATGTCAAAGGCAGATCTCCACCGATGGCGAGGGCGCAAGATCCCTGAGAATCTACCAGTCCAAGATACATAACAGCTTAAGTTCACATCCAAGTTACATAAATAAAATTTGCCACAATCACACCTGAAATCACCTGAAAAAGACAACAGGAATATTCATCTTCAATCAACAGCAGAACATCATGTCAGTTTGGAAGTTGGCTGAAATATTTTTCCATCTTCCATTATAAGATGAAATGGTCCAGTGGTCAGCAAACCTTTCTGTCTTTGAGGGCATGGGAGACTGGCTGTGGAATGCTTTCTTTAAACAAAGTCTTAGCCAGAAACTAGTGCCCTCGTGAGCTGGATTCAGGGTAAGGCTGGAGCTGTCCTCGCCTGCAGCTCCACAGTGTGACGGCAGCCCAACTCCACCCAAGGAGGTGGTAGACTCATGGTGCAATACACCTGAGTCCTGGCAGCACCCACCCATTCAGAACCTGGGCAGTCTGCCCTTTTAGCACCTCTATTTCTTGTCTCTAAAATATATAAAATCACTGGATTTCATTCCTAAGAGGGTGAGGCCAGTAACTCCTTGTAACTTAAAAGCAGCATAGTGGCAGTGGCTCGACCAGATCATCTAACACCGTAACAAGTGAAGATTTCCCTGTTAACCAAGACTTATCCTTCAAAGGACCCCAATCCTCGGAAAATATGCCCCAGTTGGCCTGTTTTAAGTTGGGGGACGTGCACTTTGGTAGATGTGATGCCAGTAGAGATGTGGGGGCAGGCGGGTCGGACCATGTCACCTCCTAAAACTGTTGCCTGCTTCCCAGTAGTCCAGGTCTCCTTAACCAACTCCAAGATAGGGACTGCTGTAAGCACCTCCTGTGCTCATACACTTTCTCCTCACAACCACCCATTCACAGCGAGAAAACAGGCCCAGAGGAATGTTCCTTAGCTAAACTTAAGGGCACAGTGGTCAGAGCAGAGCTGGACTCCAGGGCCTGGCCGTCATCTCCAGGACAATGTCCTCTCTGGACGGGGGCAGGCCTTTTGGAAAGCAACTCATGTGTTGCCCTAATGGCCAAGTGTGAAAAATTAAACTTTTCATGGCCAAAAGAGTCAAATCAGAGAAGACATCCCCCCTGGAGCCAAGCTAAGAGCAGTGTTGCTGCCGCCAACATTTTTCAGCTAGAAAAGAAGCAGTGAAGAGCCAAATCTCTTTAAAAATCCTAGACCAGGATTGAGTGAGCCTTTTGCCCTTGCAAATGGTAGTGTAATAGTTTCTGCAGTCTAGGTGTGAGCAGGGTCTGCACCTGTTTGTCTTCACTGGACCTTTTCTAAGGGCAGCATCAGCTGCTCCCACTGGCCCCTGTACCTTTGTAGCCAAAGATCTTTCCCCACAGGCCTCACCTTCCCTGCTAACAGTTGCCCCTGGGATTACAGAAGCATTGGGCTGGACAAGGGCAGTGGGTGGAATTCTAAGGTGACCTTGGGAGTTCATTTCCTCAGCTTGGTCAGTAGAGGTGGGGCCAAAGGGTATCTTTCACAACAAAGGATGCACACTTCACCCAAACTAGGGTGATTATAATGAACCACAGAAAGTAGCCAAGGTGTTACCGAAGAGGTAGAGAAATGGGAACCCTTGTGTCTTGCTAACAGGAATGCAAAATGGTGCAGCCATGTG